TTTTGCTTTTAAAATAAATTTAAGTTGACTTCGATCAACATTTTGGGTAAACGGACCCGGATCCGTGATTTGACGGTCCCGGAGGGTCCGTAGGAAAATATGTGACTTGGGCGTATGCCCGGAATCGAATTCCGAGGTCCCAAGCCCGAGAAATGAATTTTTAAAAAAATTGTTTTCTGGAATATATGTGAGTTTTTGGAAATGAAATGTGTTTGGAATTTGATGGTATGGGGCCCGTATTTTGGTTCCGGAGCCGGACAGGTCTTATATGTGATTTAAGTCAAGTCTGTAAAATTTGGTAAGAAACGGAGGTCATATGACGTGATTCGGAACCTTAGTTGTAAAATTTGAAACTTTGAAAGTTCTTGAGATTTTCTTTGATTTTGATGCTAAATTCATAGTTGTTGATGTTATTTTGATGATTTGATTGCACGAGCAAGTCCGTATGATGTTTTTAGGTTAGTGTGTATGTTTGGTTTGGAGCCCCGAGGGCTCGGGTGAGTTTTGGATAGGTCACAGAGTGAAATTTGGACTTAGGAAGTGCTGGTATGTTGCAAATCTGCAGGCTTCGCATTTGCGAAGCTTGGCTCGCAAGTGCGAGATCGCAAATGCGAACCCACCGTCGCAAATGCGAGAGAAGGCCTAGGCAGGCCTGATCGCAAATGCGATCATTTCATCGCGAATGTGAATAAGCCTAGAAATCCCCATTGTCGCAAATGCGAGTTCGCAATTGCGAACAGTGATCGCAAATGCTAGATTAGCAGGTTCTGAAGGGTTCGCAATTGCGAACCCTAGTCGCAATTGCGACATCTGCAACCTGCAGAATCATAACTTAGACGCATTTCAACCATTTTTCAAACCCTTTCAAAACCAAAGCACTCTTGGGCGATTTTTCAAAGATAAGTACTCTTCCAAATCGATTGTAAGTCATTTCTAACTTGTTTTTATTAATCTTTAACATCTTTTCTCATGTTTTCAACTCAAAATCAAAGGTTTTCATGGGGGAAATTGGGTGTTTTGGGTAGAACCTAGGTTTTTCAAATTTTGGGGATTTGGACCTCGATTTGAGGTCCGATTTCAAAACAAATTATATATTTGGGTTTGTGGGTGAATGGGTAATCGGGTTTTGGTTCGACCTCGGGTTTTGACCATGTGGGCCCGGGGTCGATTTTTGACTTTTTGGAAAAAACTTTAGAAAACCTATTTCCATGCATTAGAATTGATTCATTTAGCATTTATTGATATAGTTAAGTAACTTGTGACTAGATACAAGCGAATTGGTGGTGGAATCAAGAGGTAAAGAGATAGTTGAGGCTTGAATTGTGTTCGTGGCATCGAGGTAAGTGTTTGGTCTAACCTTAGCTTGAGGGATTAGGAGTTGCGTCTTAATTGCTATGTGTTAACTGTGGAGTACGACTTATTGGCATGCTGACGAGTATCTATACGTCGGTGTCAAGCATGCCCGTGAGTCTTGTATTGAAATTGTTATGACTCTATTGTGGTCTATTCGTGTTTCATATGAAGATTTTCATTGTTGTTCCCTTGCCGGGATGTTGTTGTTATATTGTTGTTCACTTGTCGGGATGTTGTTGTTATATTGTTGTTCCCTTGTCGGGATGTTGTTGTTATATTATTGCTCCCTTGCCGGGATGTTGTTGTTATATTATTGTTCCCTTGCCGTGATGTTGTTGTTATATTGTTGTTCCCTTGCCGGAAGGTTGTTGTTATATTATTGTTCCTTAACCGGGATGTTGTTGTTATATTATTGCTTTCTTGCTGAGATTCTTTTATGATTGGTGTTGATATATATAATGGGAGCGGGTTGCACGCCTGCAACGGTAATATATGAAATGGGAGCGGGTTGCACGCCTGCAACGGTAATATATGAAATGGGAGCGGGTGCACGCCTGCAACGGTAGTATATGAAATAGGAGCGGGTTGCACGCCTGCAATGGTAATATATGAAATGGGAGCGGGTTACACGCCTGCAACGGTAATATATGAAATGGGAGCGGGTTGCACGCCTGCAACGGTACTATATAAAATGGGAGCGGGTTGCACGCCTGCAACAGTATTATATGAAATGGGATCGGGTTGCACGCCTGCAACGGTATTACATGTGTACTTGTTCCTTATTTTCTTATCTTTTGCTGGTAATTGATTTATGGCGTTCCTTACATTTCTCTATTTGTATTCTGTTGTTATCTGTTACTCCCCGCAGCATGTTTTCCCCGCCCAACTTTAGCTGTAATTATCTGCTTTTATTTTACGCTGTATATGATTTAATTGCGCATGTTTATTTGGTAGTCTGGTCCTAGCCTCGTCACTACTTCGCCGAGGTTAGGCTAGGCACTTACCAGCACATGGGGTCGGTTGTGCTGATGCTACACTCTGCACTCTTTTGTGCAGATCCCGGTGCTATAGCTTTCGGACCGCAGTGAGATTGTTGCTTCTTGTTCATCAGGCGACCCGAGGTAGTCCTGCAGGCGTCCGCAGGCCTTGGCGTCTCCTTCTATCTTTTATCCTGTTTCTTTTATTCCCAGAGATAGTGTTGTATTACTTTTTTAGACCTTTATTTGTAGTACTCCTAGACAGTCTGTGAAGTTGTGACACCAGTCTTGGGTAGATTTGTTATGGATTGGTATTGGTAGTATTATTAAAACATTTCATCTTAGTCTTCCGCTTATTAAATTCAGTTGTTTATTAAATGCTAGTTCTTAATTGTTAACGGATTAAAATGGAAACAAGGTAAATAATTCGATTGGTTGGCTTGCCTAGCTTTCACTAGTAGGCGCCATCACGACCCCCGAGGGTGGGAAATCCGGGTCGTGACAAGAAAGAAGCCGTCGAAGTAACGATTATAGAAGAAAAACTCAACAGAATCAGAAAACCCAAAATTTCTCAACGAGTACAGATCCTCGGATAAAATTTGACGAAGGTAACATCGTGAGAAAGCTAGTGAGGAGCAGGAACGGAATCTCTGCTCTAATACCATATAAAAACATTGATTTCCATGAATTGATTGAGAGTTTATGCTAGGGTTTGAAGAACAACGAGAGAGAGGGGGAAAAGAAAGGAGAAGCAAATATTTTCTATTAACTCTACTGATAGAGAAAAATGTTTATTGTCTCTAGAAGAATCCAAAATTAGTGGCTATATACAAAAGAGGACACTTAGCTAATAAAAGAACCGGGCTAACCTACTAATTACAAAAGAATGGGCCTCACTATTACAAGTGGGCTGATACAAATAAATACATCAAGTGGGCTTCTTATGCGGGATGTGCCTCAGCATCAACAATAGTTTGGCCTAGCTTGTTCTCAACTCCAACAGTCCCTCTTTCCATCTTCCCACTCTCAGAATAATGAAATCCAAAACACCACCATTGCTCAACCAGCTGCGAAGCTCACTTATCTTTCAGTCATGTCCTTCGAGTTGCTCTCAAACTTTCTGCTAAACCTGGAAATTTTCTTTGTGTGAGTTTTTATACGATTGATGGAGTTTAGTGATGCATATGATAGTGCGAAATGCTATTGAATGTATTTTCGTATAAATTAAACTCTCGTCGATCGTGTATCCGTAAATATGCTTGCACAAGCGTGCACGTCGATCATGCTACCAACTACAACAGATCTAGTCTAGTCTTTCTTTATCCATGAGTAAAGAATTTTTCCACTACCTGTGTAATTGCTGGCTTAATAGCTTTGGAAAAAACTTGAGTTACGAATTTTTATTATTTTTTTGTAATTTAATATCGGGAACAATTTATTTTGAACTGTTGTATTAAGTAATCTATCTTATATTTTCGGTTACAAATCTCACCTTTTATGAGCAATTATCTTTTAGTTTACTTAATTATACATTCTTTTTCTATTATTAGGATATAGTAAAATCATTACTTAGTTGTTTAAGTTGAAGATATTAGGAAGTAAATTATTTCAAATTTAAATATATAGTAAATGAAGTATTTTTGTTAAATAAATTAATAAATAAATAATATCGTATAAAATGAGAAGAAAAGTAGAAAATAACGAATCCTATTAACAGATATTAAAACGGGTCTTTACCTAAAAAAAAAGGTCAAAATAACCCAGCAGAATAAGATAGGTGAGTAGTAGTTTTGAAGTTGTATGCATCACCATTTACGCCACCTGTCTAAGTAGTAAGTCCTTCAGCAAACCGTCTGAAGTAATTTTGCTACTGCTCTTGACCTACATGCATGCTGAATGACAATACGTACCGTCTAAAAATCTGTCTTCTTCGTCGTCGTCATTGATGACAAACACAAGATTGTGAAACGGGATGGTGTGATCGAGTGAGATTAATAATCCAGAAACTAATGCCGATTTCCTATTTACTAGGTTGAAAATTGATATACATTATTGTAGAAAATCTCTATATTAATGTCAGTAACGGTAGACACAGAAATTTTAGCAAGGAATTAGAAAAATACCATATATAATGTCATGTGTAAGATTTAAAGAAAATAATTTTTGAACCACTTCTGTCATTATACTAACATAACAACTTACTCTCTAATTTGATGGATTCAGAAATGTATATATGTACAAACAAATTTATTTTTTTGTTTTATTTGAACACTATACTTTTTCGATAAAAGAGATTCAGTGGAATCACAGCTTTTTTATTGGCTGTTTGTGTAAATAAATTAAATACTAGTAAGTTAGGTGTTTGTTTAGTTTCATTCGGCGGGAAACAAGTTTTAATTAAAACCGAAACTGTTTCAAAAGAAAAGCCAAAGGCTGGTTTCCCAAGACAATTGTCCCTTTGAAAATTTGGGCGTCTTTGAGTTTGTAAGCTAAACAAAAGCTGTAGGATTATATTAATTGCTTTTGAATGCCTGACGCAACTGTTCATTAATTGCACAACCTTCAACATTCAGCTATATGCCTATATCCCAATACTAGCCATATTCATATGAGACACAAGTATCCAACGTAAGACAAAACTAAAAGCTAGCTACTACTTCGGTTTTCCAACTTATATAATACCAAAACATGTAGAACAAAAACTCATTTTCCAGAACAACAGAAAAGTTATTGAGAAGAGGTTCTTTACATTAATGGAGTCCATAAGATGGAGAAAACCGAGTCTGAAACCGATTCAAACTAAGACAAAATTAGCCATGGAAGAAGCTAAAGAAGAGCCATTGAGTCCATCAGCAAGGTTATTTCACGAGCCCAACTTCAACGTCCATGTTATAGCTATAATGGGAAGCAAATCAAGAATCAATCCTCAGGTTATCAAAGAGAAATTGGTCCATACTTTGCTTAAGCATCCTCGTTTCTCCAGCCTGCAGGTACAAAAAAATGGCCAAAATTTAAGTCTTAATTTGCTAATGATCTATTTATGCAAGATGTACCTACATTTTTAGCTTAAACAATTCATATATATACAAGTCAAAAAATTCAGGAAATACATTTATTTTAAGTTCAAATCTATTATCATGATAGAAAAATTTCTGTAGTTCTATAAGGTAATTGTAATCTTTAAAATAAAATAAAAAGATTCGACGCAGTTCAACAATATCTATCTAAGATGAACAAGATAGAAACGTTATTCATATTTGATTTGTAAAAATTCAGCTCTTATATTTTTTTTGCATGTATATATGGTACAAGAAAAAAAGGGCTACCACTTAGATACAATACCAGATTAAAAGGATCCAACATCAAAAACTTATAATAGAGGTGGGTAACAAAAGAGAACCCCATATATACAATTACCCATTACTACTTCTAATTCTATTAAAATGTACAATTCTACTAAGTGGTCTACACTTTAAGTATTTTAAAATCCGAGCCTCATAAAACGAAGTAAAATCATACTATTTTATTCGAATTTATATATTTTTTTTGAATATTGAAGAATAATAAAATGCAAAGAATTAATCGGAGAATTTCTCGGAAACAAATTTGTACTGTTTTAACCTTTTCTTTTCCTTTCATTTCGGGTGCAGTGGTGCACTTAGCCTGGGCTGTAGTACAAAGCCTACACATAAAGGCCTGAATAGCAAACCATCCCGATTGGCCTTTTTTTCCCTTAAAAACTGATTTAATGTAGATACTCCATCTGTTTCAAAAAGATTGATATTGTTTTCTTATTAGTTTTTTTCAAAAAGATTTATAACTTTCTATATTTCCTTACTAGAAAACATTTATAGCCATACATAGGTTTCAAAAGTTACATATCTCAAAAGTATCCATTTCTTTATTAAAGTTCAAACTATGACAATTTTTGAAACGGAGGGAGTATTAAACTTATAGAACATATCATATAAACTATTACAATACTTGATCTGTTAGCCAAAATTTAAAAAAATAAAAAATTCTCAAATTACATTGTACAGGATAGAATAGATTTATAGTATATATTTTCTTCCTTCTTTTTGTTTGGGTAGGAGATGTAGTAGCAAATGATCAATAAGATTTTTGTTTTCAACAAAAATAAAATAAAATGAAATTGCAAGTAACTAAAAACAAGCCTATAGTGTACTTTGTTCCTATCAAATATGGTACAAAAACACTGTTAACAGAAAAGGGAGGATTTTCAAGAAGCAAAAAATCTTCATATGCCTTCTTGACTTAGCATGCCTTCTAAAATTACATGTTTCATTATTTGTAAGGTGGTGGATGAGGAAAAAAACGGAGAAATGAAATGGGTCCGGACAAAGGTGGACTTAGATAAGCACATTGTGGTACCACAAGTAGATGAAAAAAACCTGCAGGAATCACCAGACAAATTCGTGGAGAATTATATTCACAACCTTAGCAAAACCACACTTGACAAGTCGAAACCTCTGTGGGATCTCCATCTTCTCAACGTCAAAACATCCGATGCTGAGGCTGTTGGCGTCTTTCGAATCCATCATTCACTTGGAGATGGCACCTCTCTTATTTCCCTTCTGCTCGCTTGTACTCGCCAAACTGCTCATCCAGATAAAATTCCAACTATTCCAGGAAATAAAAAGAGGCCTATTAATTCTTCCGACTCCAAGGGATTGTGGCCGTATGTTGCAAAAGCTTGGTCATTTATGAGATTGTTTTGGAACACAATAGTGGATGTGTTGATGTTTATGGCCACGACTATGTTTTTGAAGGACACAAGTACGCCAATTAAGGGTAAGCCTGGTTCTGAGTTTAATCCTAGGCGATTTGTGTACAGGACAGTAAGTCTTGACGATTTGAAGTTGGTGAAAAATGCATTGAATATGGTACGCATCTATATACTTTGTCCAAACAAATGCTATATATGTTGTGGCAACTTCCTTCAATTCTTTCTTTCTCTTCAGTTTTGCATTAGGAACGGAATGCAGATTGTTTATATATTTTGATGCTTTTGAACTTTGTTATTTCTTGCACAGACAATAAATGATGTCGCTCTGGGAGTAACACAAGCTGGTTTATCTGTGTATCTTAATAGGAGATTTCGTAAGTTTATCTTCATGTGTTATAATATAATACATTGTTTTTATGATTTATCACCCTTATTTTCTTTAAGCAGAGTCATTAAATCATAAATAGTTTAACCATAATCAGAGGAAATGTCGAATTTCTTTTTCTTTTATACACTTTAATTTTTTTTAACAATATAAGGTCATCTAAAAGATAACTGATCAACAAGTAATATGCCTATAACAAAATTGAATTAGTTCTCTGAAAATAAGGTAGACGACTTGCTATAACAAGTAAAATTACGTAGATGGTACAAGAATATTGTCCTCTTTTCAATATCAGTGTTAATAAGTTAAATCCAAAAAGAATCAGAAACATTTCATGGCAGTAATCTTTTATGCAAAATTTGGCAGGTGAGGGTAAGAAAGACAAGGGAGCAACAGAGAAAAACAATAATCTTCCCAAGAATATTAGACTCAGATCAACTCTTCTTGTAAACTTAAGACCGTCAACTGGAATTCAGGTGATAACATCTATTTTTTCGTCAAAATCTTAGCACTTCTTCTTTCCTAACTTACTTCAAGTCAAGTTATTAACATTCTTTTCGTGTTTAACAAATACATATATAGGCTTTAGCTGATATGATGGACAAGGACACTGAGGCAAAGTGGGGGAATTGGATTGGATTTGTTCTTCTACCCTTTAAGATCGTATTACGAGATGATCCCTTAGATTATATCAGAGAAGCTAAGGCAACCATTGATCGTAAGAAAAACTCTCTTGAAGCAATCTATACATTTTCCATTTCAGAATTAGCACTCAGATTTTTTGGGATAAAGGTAACTAATAGCATCTCACTACTAATAGTCGATCATATATATCTTAATTCTTGATCTACATATAAGATCTCTGTTATCAAAATGTCTGTTATTGCAAGATTTGACCCCTTTTTATACTGTAAAAAATAATAATTAATTTCAGACATCAAGCTCAATATCGCACAGAATTATCACCAATACAACAATGTGTTTCTCCAATTTGGTCGGCCCCCAAGAAGAAATTGGCTTCTATGGGCACCCTATGGCTTACCTTGCACCTAGTTCTTATGGGCAACCTCACGTAAGTATTACTCATACTAATTTCAAGTTATTGCTTTCCTTTTTCGTTTTCATTTTCCATAAGCAGACTGTGTAGGGTGAGGTCTTTTCCTTGCAAAATTTCACTAATTTTCTTCACCAAGTCGTATTGATTTTTTGGTTAATTTAGAAAAAACTGATGAGTAATAAGCTGTACATTAGTGATCTTGTTTAGATTATCTTTACGTCATAACCCCGAATTTAAATTTCAGGCGCTGATGATTAATTTCCAGAGCTATACAAACAAGATGACGATAGTTCTATCAGTAGACGAAAGTGTGATTCCTGATCCGCATAAATTATTGGACGATCTTGAACAATCTCTAAAGCTTATCAAGGATGCTGTGGTAGAGAGAGGCCTTTGCTATAAATAAAATGTATTTGACACGATATATCATATCTTTAGTTTGCTCTTCTAGTTTTATGGCTCAAAACGTCGCGTTGACAATAAGACAAGTATAATAAAACTTATCGGCGTTACCACAATATTAACCAAATATAATTTTTGGAGCAATATATATGTATACATATCTTAAATGTAATCGTGCTGACAAACTCGTGGTCTTGTATCGATCTATGAATCATTAAATAAACACAACATTTTCAAGTTTTGTTGAGCAGCTCCTAATTGTGTAATAAGCTAATCAATCTTAGTTCTGAATTTTGAGAGGGCAGCCTCTTTGATAAGCATTAATGCATCGACAAAATCATCCCCAAGCTGGTTCGGATCTGGAATTAATCCTTCATCGACTGCTACTGCAAATGTTAACTGCTTGGCATAACTACACGCATGAACCATTAGCCCCTACAATATGCACTTGCACTTAGGGATTTTGAACTGAGTAGTTTTTTCAAATTATAATAATAGTATAAATATGTGGAAGATCCATATAACTAATTTGACTAAAACGGGATTGCTTGATTGATTGAAGAAACTTACAGGATGTCCATAACATGTTGGGGCAAGGAATGCCAATGGATGGCCTGACCAAGAAACTTCTTCGAGCGGACCGGCTACATTTGAAAAGATTAGTGTTGTTTGAGATACAACTCTTGCAGCAAGAGTTGTCGCACCCTATGTGCGAAGCAATAATTAAGCAAAACATGAGTTAGGTCTAGATTATAACGACAACTAAAAGGAACAAAAAAATAAACATCTCAATTTTGTTTGATAATTTGAATGTGTAAAGAGAAATAATGGAGTACCTTAAAACCAAAGAACTTGAGGATAAACTGTAAAACATAAAAGGTGCACAGTGACGCAAGAGAATGCTTCGTTCGATCCATTGTTGTCTTAGCTTTGCGGACATAATCGAGAGGATTCTCTAATTGCACTATATTTAAGGGAATTATGACAAAGGCAAAACAATTTCCTTGTATCACTGCTGCATTCTTTTCAATCATTTTAGATACCGCCTGTCACATGGTCAGGTGAAATTAATTGATTAGGCACATACGAGTCTGAAATTTTACATTGCAATAACATAATTGCCTATCTGCATCAATCTTTTTAGCCCTATGATGAAGAAATACTCACATGTACTCCTAAAGCTGGTCGTAGATTCACTATAACAGTGGCTCTGCATCTCATTCGTTCTAGTGAAAACTTCCTCTTGCCTTCAACTTCTACTGCCATGGTAAGAAGAAACAATAACTATAGAAAGTTTGACTTCCATGGTTAAAAGCATTTTAACCCCCCCCCCCCCCCCAAACAAACCCAAAACTTTACGTTCAGTGGCAGTTATGTTGTTACACACAACAACAAATTAAATATATCACTTTCAACCGTAATTCCTTAGCCCGAAATAAAATAAAAATTAGTTTCATATAGCAAAAGTGACCTTATGACTCTCACCTATTGTGATTTATAGGTTTTGAGGCAAGATCAAATTTTCAATTCTGTCTATATACTTAATTCACCGGTTAATATTGTTTGTGACACACCTATTATGCCCTTTACATATTGTGTCAAAGGTAAAGTGCTAATTAAGATGAATCCTTGTACATAATATTAAATTACATTCTAATAAGAATACAGTGAACTAATATAGGAGCTTAATTACCGTATCTTCGGTGGATATAACGAGACAAAGCTGCTTGTGTTATCCCCAGCATAACGTCGTTAACCGTCTAAATTTGCAAGAAAGAAAAAAGATGAGCTTACGTTAGAAACAACTTTAAACCCATGAAAAGGGATTTATAATGCTATTCAACCTTGGATTTAAAGTTTATATACTTACACAGTTTGTCGCATTCTTTATAAATTTAATGTCATCCAAGCTAACAGTTCGATAGATAAATCTTTGACGAGTGGACGACTTAAATCCTTGTGCAGCTGTGAAAGGTGATTGAGAGTCTTTCAAGAACAGAGCAGTCGCTACAAACAACAAAACATCAACAATTGTATTGAACAAAAGACTGATGAACAACCGCAACTTTACGACGTACTGCCATATCAACGAGCAAATATTTTTTCTATTGCTTATTGATAAATTTGATTTGCCCTTGGAAGAAGAAGAAGAAGAAGAAACCGGGAGTGTGGGCAAAGAAGTAGGATCCGAACTTTTACGGAAACAAGAGAGTAAAAGCGAAATGAGGGAAACTCCATCGCCTAGAGAATGGTGAAAACGGAAAATAGAGGTAGCCTTGGCATGGGAGGTTTTCACGTTAAGGATGTGAAGATCCCATAGAGGTTTTGACGTGTCAAGAGTGGTCGTGCTTAGGTTTGATATATAATCTTCTACCAGCTTGTCGGTATCCATATTATTGGGGTTTGGCTTCAGGTCAGGGACAGTAATATGATCATCTAGGTTGACTGACGTAGGAACCAATCTCATTTTTCCATTGCCATCACTTTCATCCATAACCTGTCGACGTTTCAACACAAATTAAAAAATCTAAATATTGTTATACATTAACCTTGTAAAGATTTACACTATCGTGTTATTTAGAAATGTAATCACGAGTAATTGTCTATATGAAACGTGAGTTGTTAGTATATGTAATTAACATGCTATAATTCATCGATAGTGTCAAAATTGTTTACACAGTTGATGTGCACAAATTTATTCGCCCTAAATTTATTAAATGCATGCCAAAACTACATGATATATGGAATATGTCCCCCACAAGCGGTAAGCAGCCTAAAACAACGTAGTAAATTTAGTACATTAGTGTAGCAAATTTTATCATTTCACATTAAATTATGCCAAATTACTCATACGAAAAATACAACTAAAAAAATTATTATAAAATTATATAGTTAAGAATTATTTGAATCTGATATGAGAAAGTATCTTTTGAATTATGATGAGAAGATTCATACAATGGATTATATAATATAACTAAAATCATAATAGATAAAGAGCCTGTTTGGATTAGCTGATTTGAAGTAGCTATAAGCATTAAGTGCTGAAAAGCATTTTTAAGTGCTGAAACTGATTTTAATAAATAAGCAGTTACGTGTTTGGGTACAAGTGCTGAAATTGATAATAAGTTACTGCAGTATTTGATAAAAAGTGCTGATAAGCTCTTTTTCTGTTAAAATAACTTAAATAACCTTAGAACTGTTTACACTTATAAGGGCGTAATTTCGTTAAAATTTTAGATTCCAGATCGATTCAAATACAATTCTATTTGTCAACTTATTTTAAATATAACAGTGCTTAGATAAGATAATTTTTATGATAAATATAATTTATTTTATGATAAGCTTATAATCATAGGTTATAATAATTAATAAATTGACAAAAGTTTCTCAGTAAAAAAAATCTAAATAGGACAAAATATTTGAAGAGAAACAAACACTGTCTTCATCACCACAACACTAAGAAAATAATACACCAAAAATTTGATATGTCCTCATTTATTACATAGAGTTCAAAGATTAATACACAATCACATAGATATAAATATGCAAATGAATAGAGAATTTGCTTATCTTAAATAGTCAATGAGAATTGCAGACTTGAAGAGCCGGGGAGAAGGGGGGTGTTTAGGTTGAAAAAATACTTGGGACTGTGAGTATCGATGTAGGAGTTTTGTTCAAAAAAAGGAATATTTTAAGGATAAAATAGTAAAAAGTTTGGTCAAACTTAAAGTGCTTATAAGCTAAAAATTCACTGGGGGTGACCAGCTTATGGCCTTTGGTTTATTTTTGACTTATAAGCACTTTTAACTTTACCAAACCGGTAGATAAGCCGAAAAATGCTTATAAGCTAGTTTGACCAGCTTATAAGCTTAGCCAAACACCCTCAAAGTCAACAAAAAAAACTATAGAACATTGAAAGAAGTGGCAAGCCGCCGGAGATACTAGCAAAGCTAAATGAGTGTGCTGGTTTTTCGCTTGGTGAAGAAATTTAACTTTTTGAGGTTAATTATTTTTCTTCTCTCGCAACAATTTTTTAGAGACTACTGATGAAATTTATTTATTTATTTTTTGATGTAATTCTTTTGAATGCAGTCGCTAAATTTGGTATGAAATATACATCTATTTTTTTTATTAATTTCCTCGGCTCTTTTTTATATTGAAACGATCCGCGTATCGTACAGGTATGTATACTAGTTACTTGTAAAACGAAAAAGAGATCCTCCGGTTTAATGAAGGAGGGCTGACATTTTTTCTTAAGAAAAAAGGTTAAAAACCGTATATCTGCCATGCAAAACCATGCAAGATTAATTGTGATTAGTTAGACAAATGTACTTTGATGTTTCTTTACCTGCAAACTGGAAAAGCGTGGGTGTTTAAGCACCTTGTGTTGTAATTCACCTTTCATGGCGTCAACGTCAACTGGTACTTTCCAACCCATGATTGCTATGATGTGAACGTTGTAGTTTGGTTCATGAAACAGTCTAGAATTTGGACTCAATAATGCTTCTTCTTCTTCTCCATTTCCTAATTTCTTTGATGTTCGTACAGGTTTGATAACCATCTTGTTTCCACCACACTCCATATCTTAGAGCAAATATTAGTATTTTTATCACTTATCGAACTACAAAGCAAATGCTGATTAAAGGCTCCAATTATTTAAAGAAGAAATGAAGATTTATAGGGTGTACACAGAGTAGATAGATTTCAACCGTAAAAGGAATCTTTCATTAAAAGCACCACTGTCTTGATAATTTAAGCTTTCGGGAAGTTTCGAGATCGAGTTGTTTAAACTGCTTTTTGTGAAAATATATTTTTGAGAAAAGCTTAATTATGAACTTAAAGGGAAAATTTACAAAAGAGAAATTCGAAAATTAGGTTCTAACAGTAACACGATGGTTTTGAAGGTTTGACGAACAAGCTGCATGCATTGGGTTATAGAATTCATTTGCTTCTTATGCCTTATCTTTATTAGTAGTATTTTTCTTCCATATTGTGTAACAAATATGTCTTCTGCTATTGTCGCGACCCAGATTTCCCACCATCGGGAGTCGTGATGGCGCCTACAGTCGGAGCTAGGCAAGCCAAATATTCAAAACTTTTCACTGATGACATTTTTAACAATATAAAATAAACGGGCAGTATAATTAGAGCGGAAGACTTTAAACTTATATAACTGAAATAAAATTTGCGGAAGTTGAAACACCTTTCTACCCAGAGTCTGGTGTCACTAGCTCACGGACTGCTATAGAGTACTAAAAACAAGTCTGAAATGATATTACATACTGTTTGCCTCGAAACAAAGAAAACAAACTAAAACATAGAAGGGACTTCGGCCTGCGAACGCCAGCTAGGCTACCTCGTGAGTCCCTGGACTGAAGACAGCTCCCGGGCAATCCTACTGCTGCTGTCCAAAAGCTGCTCCTGGATCTATGCAAAAAGATGCACAGAGTGTAGCATCAGCACAACCGACCCCATGTGCTGGTAAGTGCCTGGCCTAACCCCGACGAAGTAGTGACGAGGCTAGACAGGACCTACCAAAAACAACCAGTGCAGATATATATATACAAAGGCAACGGAAATAACAACAGCAAATATCAAATAAAACTGTGAGGGGCATGCTCGAGGGAATACAGTAAAACAGATCAACGGATATAATAACGAAACTACATCAATACTGTGACTCATATAAGTGGTCGGCGTGCCACACGATCCCATAATATATGTTTATAAGTGGTCGGTGCGCTACACGATCCCATAGTATATATTTATAAGTGGTCGGCGTGCCACACGATCCCATTTCATAATTCATAAGTGGACGGCGTGCCACACGATCCCATTTCACAATTAATAATACATATAATCTTTCTAGAGAAGGCCCTAATAAGGGAATTCAACAACATAACGATTTAACCCGGCAAGGGTACAACCAACAGCCTAAATATCCCGGCAAGGGAGAATACATATAATGCTTAAATCCCGGCAAGGGAGCAACAACAATAATACACTACGCGTCCCGGCAAGGGAATAATCACAACACTTCCTCTTTTAATCACTTCTTTCTCAATTATCAATTTCCAGTTTGAGCCAACGCTCCAATAATATACCAACCACATTTCTTCCTCAACCATTCATATTATATGAAACTTATCAATTAAACAAGGAAGATGTATCACAAAAATCCGAATTAAACACAATTAGGACTCACGGTTATGCTAGACTCCGGTGCATAGATAACCATCACCATGCCTATACACCGTACTACACATTTAGCAGATAGCAAATAACATCCTAGTCCTATTCCCTCAAGCCAAAGTTAGAACAAACACTTACCTCGGTCCAAAGAATAGCAATCAATCCTAAATTACCGCCTTTCCTCTACAATCCGACTCCGAAACAATGATATCTAGGCATAATTAATTCAATAATATCAATAACGACTCAATGGTAACATCCCATAGCCTAGATATGAATTTCCTAGCATTCTTCCAAAAGTACCAAAATTCGACACTGGGCCAACATGGTCCAAACACGAGGCTCGGACCAAAACCCAATCACCCATAACCCCACGAGTTCGAATATGCAATTTGTTTTAAGATTCGACCCCAAATTGAGGTTGAATCACCCAAAATTCTCAAAACCCTAACTCTACCCAAAATCCCTAATTTATACTTTGATTTCATGATTTAGGGCTAGGAAATTAGTGATTAGTTGAAGAAATTAAGAGGGAATGAAGTTAGGAACGCTTACCTATGGAGTTATGGAGGAAGAGGTTCTTCAAACTTGTCTTTGGAGGGTGAAGGAGAAGAGCTCGTGTGAAAATAATGAAGAAATCCCGTGTTAAGTGTTCTGTTTTTAAGAAAAATTCACTGGAGGGGTTTTACTCTATGCGTTCCCGACACAGGGGTCGCGTTCGCGGGGAAGGCCGGCTGTTACTCTATGCGTTCGCGAAGGGTAGTATGCGAACGCGAAGAAGGAAAACTGGGGGGTCCAGGGGTTATTCTATGCGAACGCGATGGGCTATATGCGAACGCGGTGAAGGGGTTACCCGAACAATGCGAACGCGGGGATGTTACCGCGAACGCGAAGGAGGGGAGACACAAGGCAGTGCGAACGCGAGCCTTAGGCCGCGATCGCGTAGAACAAATGGTCTGTGTAAAATGCAGCAAAAATCTGATCCTTTCCTAAGTTCTAAAACACCCCGAACCACCCCCGAGTCACTTCCGAGCCCTCGGGGCTCCCAACCAATCACTCACACTAACTCAACAACATCCTACGAACTTACTCGAGCGATCAAATCGCCAAAACAACACCATATACATAGAATCAAGCCTCGATTCACATGGTTTTCTTCTAAGTTTCATAAACTTTCAAACTTTAGATATTTAGGTCCGAAACACGTCAAATGACGTCCGATTTTGACCAAATTTTACAGAAAGAGCTTAACACATATTTAAGACATGTACCGGGCGTCGGAACCAAAATACGAGCCCGATACCATAGTCTTTTAATCAATTTTCATTTCCATTTTCCTTAATAATTTCAGGAAAACAATTTCACAGAAAAATTCATTTTCTCGGGTTCTAGACCTCGGATTTTGACTCCGGGCACATGCCCGAGTCCCATATTTTTCTACGGACCCTCCGGGACCGTCAAATTACGGGTCCGGGTCCGTTTACCAAAAATGTTGACCGAAGTCAACTTTAATCATATTAATATCAAAATTCTTCAAATTTTTCACAGAATTCACATGTTTCAACGTAAAAGCTTTCCGACTACGCGCCCGGACTGGGCATGCAAATCTAGGCAACTAAAAGTAAGGTTTTCAAGGCCTCGGAAGCACGGAAAAAGAGAGAGAACCGGTGATGACTCTTTGGGTTGTCACAGCTATGTAATTGAATAATGAATTTAGTCATGTTAAATAATTAATGAATTAAGTTTACTGCAGTAGCAAAGTTATCTAATATTCTTAAATTCAAGTATATTTTCTAAAGACAAAAGTGGAAAAGGAATATGATCTGGGACTAGAACTCTGCAGAAATTTGTTACTACTATATATATACAATTATTTTAGCAAGTTTAATTATCTACACCATCTAGTGCCTTCATGTTATGGGGATTCTGATCTAATTGAAGTCAATCGACTCACATAAAGAATGGAGTTATTACCAAATTAAATTGGACGCTATTTATAAGCTACCGATTCTATTTATTGTTCTTCAAGTCTACTTTCAAACAGGATTTATATAAGTTACTCCATTTATTATGTTCTTATCACCTCAATAGTAGAAAATATGTTAATAGATAAGTTTATGGTAAAAATTTACTCGCATCAGATATTTATATCAAACCGATATATATATATATATATATATATATATATATATATATATATATTATTATTATTATTATTATTTGACATACACTTTTATAACTTAATCAAGATTACTTGTTCTATATTCTCATATCATTAAATCACTTAACTATGATATTGCTTGATTTAAACACTCGTTGTAGGTAACTCTTTCACTGAAGTGGATCTAGGTGCCCTGATTTAATTTGGGGCAGAGGAGATTGTTTCCCGTGGTCAGCTAGAAGGGCTGACTTCATCAGTCCTTGTTCTAATTAATGTAGTGGGAAATGAAAACGAAGAAAGAAGAGATCTTTTTTTTTAATATGAGAAAAACATATGTATAAATGAGCCAGGAAATGTACGTACATAACCAAAAATTGTTCATTTGCACTTGTTACTGTCACGACCCGGATTCCCACCCTCGGGAGTCGTGATGACGCCTACTAGCACGAGCTAGGCAAGCCAATTAATTTCACAATTTACCCTTTTTACTCATTTTATATTCATTAGCAATTTTTAATAATAATAATAATAATAACATTTAAACAGCGGGATTTAACACAAGCGGAAGAAAGGAACAATAAGCTATCTAAACATGAATATCTAATACAACTGTTTGAACCTCGACTACCCAGAACTGGTGTCACAGCGTCACAGACAGTCTAAGATTCACTACACACAAAGTCTGAAGAAATAACAGTACACTGTTTCTGAAATAAGGAAAATGAAACAGGGAATAGAAGATAGAGGAGACGCCAGGGCCTGCGGACGCCTGCAGGTCTACCTTGGATCTCCGCGTGGTCTGAAGGTAGCCAACTGATCTACTGTCCGAAGAAAACAGCACTGGGATCTGCACAAAAGAGTGCAGAGTGTAGCATCACCACAACCGACCCCATGTGCTGGTAAGTGCCTTGCCTAACCTCGGCGAGGTAGTGGCGAGGCTAGGACCAGACTACCACATAAACCTGTGCAGTTCAAATACATATACAGCGGAAAAGAAATACAGAAGTAAACAAGTAAAGATGGGAGGGGGAAACATGCTTTGGGGAATAACAGGTAAAAACAGAATATCAAGAGAATTATAAAGGGATCAAAATCCAACCACTAACAAGAATAAGGAAACAAAAGCAAATTTCACTTTCTTTTCACATCTTGTTGCAGGCGTGCAATCCGATCCCATTTTTCATATGTTGTGGCAGGCGTGCCACCCGC